CGCAGCACCCACACCCCAGCTGTAATGGACGTGGCCTGGCTGGAAGAGGACAGAGAGAAAAGGGAGGGAGCCTGAAGCAGGGTAGCCAACTTCGCCTGCAACTTTCAGGGATGCGAACGGGTGGCAGGCAGAGAAGCTGTGCCAGGCAGGGCTTAACCAAGCAGAGAAAGTGAGGAGGATGAGTTGCCAAGAGAGGAACTTTTTAGGGAGTTTCAAGTGCCAATTAGAGACCTGCCCAATTCCTCAGGCCTTTGAGTGAACTGTGGGATACTCAAGGAAAGTCAGCTTCTCTCCTGATGTTATGGCGAATTTTCATCCCTCATGGTTTTTATTTATATTTCAACAACAATGGATTCTCCGTATGCCGCAGCCACAATAACCCGATTCTGGTGGGAACTAGCCGGAGCGGCTATTTTTTCACAGGCACACGAAGGTGTGGGAATCAGCCCTACCAGAGAAACTGAAATATAAACTGAGAGCCTCTAGAGGTCAAAAAAGTAAGGACAAATCTCTTCCTGTTTGGTGTGATCTTATTGTTTATGTTAACAATGCATAACATAAGCAATCTCCTCCTTCCACTAGCCCCCCATGGCCTATAAACGGCTGTGATGATAGAGAAATACAGGTAGAGCTCCACAAACTAAAGTTTGCTGGAACTGCAGCTCAGCCCCCGGGAAAACAAGGGCTATCTATGGTACTGGTGTTTTTACTTTTTACAGACTAGTTAATAATTCTTATTTACCAAAAGTATGGAATGTATTGTGATGTCTGTAGCCCCCCTCTTTGCCTTGGCTTAGACATTTCATGCCTGTTTTCTGTGATGAATTTTGTTTTGTGCTTGGTTTGGCATTTTAATAACTAAAACAAATAAAGCAAAAACACACCACCGACTGATATACTGCTTAATAATCATAGTTTCAAAACACAGTGGTCCCTGCTGCTTTTTCTGTTGCATAAGGTTCTAATGTACTGTGATTGTAACCTACTCTGAGATTCTTTTAATAATGAGGAGCTAGAATTTGTTTTTTAATAATGCGTTCAAAGGATTTATCTCCTAGATCTTTTAGAGCTGATGCATGTTAGTGATAAAGAGCACAGGCTGTGAGCACAAACACTGTGGTTCATGTCTCAGATCAGCCAGGAATTCACCAGAGGACTGAAAATTATTTCACTTTTATGAAATTATCACTGCATTTTGTTTCCCTCTGACCTCACTCTTCTCCCCACGCAACCATGTATATTTGTCTGCCAATCTGAGACTTCACGCATCTGATGAAGTGGATTCTGGCCCTCAAAAGCAAATGGCATAATAAACGTGTCAGTCTTTAGGGTGCCACAAGTTCATTGGTTTTTACTGAATAATCTCTATCTCTCCAGCGAATCTTTCCAAATTTCTGGCCGTTTACTTTTTCTGTAGCACATTCAGCTCATCAGAGTACACTGCAGGATTATTTGTGCTCTCAAGGGGACAGAAAAACATCCTTTCAAAAACAACCTTTTTTTGTAATTGAAAGCTGAGGTTTCTCAGAATATTGAATTCCCTGATCTCACATATTCATGGCTCTTAGCATGGCCTTTGTACTTAGATTGTGCCCAGAAATCTTCCATGTTCAGTAACTTCAGTAACACACAGGTATCTGAAGAAGTGTTCATGCACACGAAAACTTATACCAAGAACAAACTTAGTTGGTCTCTAAGGTGCTACTGGACAATTTTTTATTATTTTTATATATTTCAGAAACACAATACACTTTATACTTTGTATAGGCTTACATAACATCTTGACTTCCAACGGAAGACACATGGGATATAAATGAAAATGAGCCGAAATCTAATACCTAGGTTTCTGATCCACGGGGCAGCCGCGTTCATCCCGTATTGTACACCTGGAAAAGGAAACACCAAGTTGTATCACACAACCATTTAAGAAATACCACTTCACTTGTTAAGGAGAAACAATGGGTGCCAGAACAGAATACAGCTCGCTACTTGCAAACATTTAGGCAATTTTAATTGCTTTTTCACTTTTGCATTTTTTTAACTGATTGAAACAACCGATAAATACAAAGTGTGGAGAACTAAAAGCAATCTGATTAAAAACTGTAACAGGCATAATAATGTTCAGTAGAGAAGAATGAAGGAGACGGGCAGCTGAATAAAAGTTTGTTGTATGCGACAACAGCCGCACGGATGCTACTAGCCCATAGATGGAAATAACCCTGACCAGAGAAGAATGGCAAACCAAGTTGATGGACTATGCTAAAATGGCAAAATTAACTGGGAAGCTTAGAAATCAAGAGGGCAAGAACTTTAAAAAAGAATGGGGAAAGTTTACAATCTATTTACAAGAACATTGTAAGAAGGTTAAAACATTAACAGGATTTCAACCACACTTGTAAACTAATGGAAAGTATGGTTATTTTGGAAGGATAAAACTTGGGACAGTATTGATATTCAGTTGTAAATATTATCATTAGGACCCATGGAAGGATTGCGGGAGGGAGTCAGGAGATTCAGAATAATCCTGATCTTTGGATTTTGAAATGTTTTTTGTGTATGTTTATGTTTTTTAAAAATCAAATAAAAATTATATATATAAAGAAGACAACTGAATAAAAGTTTGCACGGCTTCATGAGCTTTCGGGCACATGCAGTTAGCAGAGCCGCGGAAGACATTTCTAGCGTGACATTTAAAGGCGGCTCCCACCCCCCTTATTCTTTTTTAAACCTTTTAATTTTTCGTTTGCTGACCCTTGTTCATCAAAGCCCCGTATAGAGGCAGGTGGCGATGAGGAACACCTTGGCGGGCAGATTTTGGTGTCGCTCCAGGGCGGCCAAAGTAAAAGGCTGACAGAAGTCCAAACGATTACGTGCTAAATTATACAGAAGGTGTGCTCTGCAGAGAGCAAACTGCTAACAGTCTTAGCATTTCTTCCTTCCCGCTTCCATCACCCACTAGGCAAAGGTGCTGGTGCCTCTTTTCCAGCAGGACCTTCTCTGCACAATCCAGAATGCGGCAGCTAGACTGGTGACTGGGAGTGGCCGCAGAGACCACATAACACCGGTCCTGAAAGACCTACATTGGCTCCCAGGACATTTCCAAGCACAATTCAAAGTGTTGGTGCTGACCTTTAAAGCCCTAAATGGCCTCAGCCCAGTATACCTGAAGGAGCGTCTCTATCGACATCGTTCTGCCCAGACACTGAGGTCCAGCTCCAAGGCCCTTCTGGTGGTTCCCTCACTGCGAGAAGTGAAGCTACAGGGAACCAGGCAAAGGGCCTTCTCAGTAGTGGCACCCACCCTGTGGAACGCCCTCCCATCAGATGTCAATTAAATAAACAACTATCCGACTTTAGAAGGCATCTGAAGGCAGCCCTGTTCAGGGAAGCTTTTAATATTTGATGAATTATTGTACTTCAATATTTTGTTGGAAGCCAACCAGAGTGGCTGGGGAAACCTAGTCAGAAGGGCAGGGTATAAATAAGTTGTTGTTGTATTATTATTATTATTATTATTATTAACCATGTTGGAAACTCACGAGTGGGTGCAGTTGGTCGGGCAGATCTGACACATGCCTTCCCCATCGGGATACTTCCAGATGGGTACAAACGAAACCGTCCACCTTCACGCCGCTGGGACACTGCTCCACGCAGTAGGGGCCATCTTTGTAATGGGCACAAGCCACACACTGGTCTGCGTCCTAAGGAAGGAAGGAAGGACGAAAAAAGAAAATAAAGACTTTCTATCAGAAGAACAGAGGGAGGGAACTCCTCCCTATCAGCTGTTCTGTGTGGATCAATATCATCCTTACAACGCAAGGCAACTCGTTGCCGACATGACCCGAGACTGACATTAAAGCCAGAAACTTTGATAGGAATCTATGGATTTGGAGTCGCTGGGTCTGGGGCTGTTGCAAAGTCGCCTCAGGTGAACTGTTCTGTTCTTGCACAGTTTATTACCTAACGAAGGGGAAAGTTGGGTAACTTGGATTTTGTAACATCGCAGGCGCATTGATTTCAATGGGCAAATTTAAGCACATGCTTAAGGCATGAGCCTCAAAGCTCTCAAGGAAGCTTCAAAGCTCTTCACTTTGGCTGGATCTCGCTCTGAAAAATCTAAAAGAAATGACTAGTTGTGACTTTATCTTCAATGTCTGAGGCGACAACCTCTGAATAAAGCTCGCCCAGCTTTTATCTATGATGCACGAAGTCTTTGCCAACATGCCAGCTGATATTTGCTCTCTTGCATAATGACTATGTGGGCAGTCCTTAAAAGGAGGGATGGGCGATACTTCTATTTATTTTCTGAAACCAGTATGGCGTTTGCATCGTGACACCGGTTTCAGACTTTTTGAGCTGCTGATACATCGTGACTTCCCAGCCACCACGATTTATCGGCGGTTCATATTGATATATGCTGTGTTTATAAATTTATCTGTTTTAGTTATTTGCTATTCAGTTTTCTGGATCTTTGTTTCTTCCTATCATTTCTATTACAAGGTTCAACTCAAATTTTTACGTAATAACATTTTGTTAACGCATTTATGGGTCACACAGCTATTAGGTTTTGTGTGTATAAAGACTGATGATTGAGTTTATTTAAGTTTTATTACCCTCGACTTTTCTCATTTTACGTTACAAAATAGAAACATCCATCAAAACATCAAGAAGGGAGAAAAACCCAGAAAAACCTGTGGTAATAGGACCATTAATTTTTTTCTGTAAAGCCGTGACATAATTTAGCTGGAAGGAATGCAAACAAGCACACCTTTCCTGTTAATAATTTATCTCTGGTATTTCATAGTCACCCGGTTTAAAAACAAGCCTGTTTGAAAACGAGCCTGAGGAATTCTCCCTTAATATTTGGATACAGGTGACGTGAGAAGAGAGAACAGGTGATACCTCCCCGCTGGCCTGCTTCACAGATCCAACTGCATGGATTCATAGCTTGTTTTAAAGGAAGGAGCCTGTAGCAAAGACATGGGAAGCCCATGGTCCTCCAGGCTCCGACCCCCAGCAGCCTCAGCCACCGTGGCCCATGGCTGGGAATTATGGGGTTTGTAGTCCAACAACTTTGGAAAAGACACCTTGCTATATTGAGCACTGGCTTTTCCACATTTTATTCCAGCATACATGGGAATTCCTCAGAAGCTTATTTTAAAGCATTTTTTGTTATGTTCTTTAGTAAAAAAAACAAAACACCCCAAAACCTTCCAGAGTAGCGTATTAGATCAGTAATTAGACAGTACCCACCTGCAAGTTCATAAACTAAAAGGCACGACACACAAGGAAAAATGAACGGGGAGGGAAGAGGGCAGAAGCCAATTTAGAAACCAGTTATTTATCATTACAGTGACTGGTTAATTTGTCCAAGTTTCCTCCATGAAAAGATACAAGCTTTCTAAAAATCGACAGCAAGACACCTTCTTTTACAACATGCAGCCATGGGGATCACTTGGCTTGGCACTATTTGAACACACGCTGCCACTTCCATGCTTCCAGATTCCTCTCACCTCTGCTTGAGCAGCAAACCGGGAATACAAACCAATTCATCCTACGGTTTGTGCAAATCGTATGTGAATGTAAATTGGAGGTGAGAGAAGAAACCAGGGCAGAAAAGAAAGGGGGGGCACAGGGTTTGTTTATGTAGCACCAAAGGGTGGTCTGAACTCACTTCTTGGGTGTGTTCAAGGTTATATTCAGGGACAGCTCCAGCTCTGAGGGGACCCTTAGCAAAGAGCTGTCTAATCCAATGTCAGAGGCCCTGGCAGGTTTGTTATATAGTGGGAGCAAGCAGCCAAAACTACTCAGATCAGCATGGGGAGACTGGGTCCGCAGGCTACCATTTTAATTTCCGACAATACCACAGCACTGCTCTGGGCATTGTGGGAAATGTAAATGGTGGCTCCCAGCCCTGATCAGTGCCAGAGGAGGAAAAATTAAATGGAAGGCCAGGGCAGACCTGCCAGGACAGCAGATGCTAGTTCTGGTCATTCTTTCTGTGCACAAAGGGTGACAAGGAACATGAGCAGTGAGTGAGTGTGTGTGTGTGTGTGTGTGTGTGTGTGTGTGTGTGTCTTGGAACAGATACTCAAAGATACTTTATGGATAGACAACTTGATGTGAAAAGGCGAGGAAGTCAGAATAAAGCGAGGGCCTCAGCAGCCTTCAGTCCCTGCTCTTACCGATCCATTGCAGGACTCTGTCCCGTTTTGGGGCAAACACTCGGAATGGCATGGAAGGCACCGCGTCCCGTTGACGTATTCCCGGAACTCTCTGTAGGAGAAGGAATTGCAAAGTCAGGTCAATCCAAAATTTAGGCAGCTTCCAGTTTTTCTCCTCCCGGCTTTCCTTAACTTCCTGGAATGTCGTGGATTGGCAATCCATCATCTGCCAGTGCACTTCTCATCACAGTAACTTCTACTAGGGCTGCATTTTAATTGTTCTATAAAATTTGGTGGTGGCAGATGGATGTTTCAAATAAGAAGAAAAACAAGGAGGTGATATGTATGCTATTTTCACACCTCTTCCATGTACCCTGAAAGGACAGAATTTAGTCAACAACACAGAAGCCAACACTAAGAAAATGTAGCTTTTTATATATATAAACATAGCAAGTGTCTCTAGACCTTAATGTGGCTAAACAATGTATTTTCTACATAGCACTCCCAGAGCCATTAAGTTGCTCCTAATCTGAATTCTGGACAGACAGGGCTCCTGGTCTGCTTTCCTCATGATCACATACCCATCCAGAAGGCTGCAGTTTTTAACACATTCGTTCCCACGCAGAAACCCGATGCAGGACATGCACTGAGTCCCCCCAGGTCCCCAGCAGTGCCCCTTGGAGCAGAGGGGGGAGCAACTCTGGTCTTCGTGTACTGTGGAGAAGAAGACATAGGAATGTATGTATTTGTTACCTGTTCTTTTGCTACCATCAAAAGGAATGGAGGAAGATATCAATGACAAGTCATTTTGTTCGACTCTTGCTGGCCTCACTGTGAGCTGCCCAAGCTAACATTGCACTGAGTAACCCTGAATTCTTATGCATTTGCTCACAAAGAGCTCACATACGGAGTCCCTAAATTCTCCTATCTGCACAGGATTTTTCATAAGCCTGGCAAAGGGGCTTACTTCCCTCCCACCCCACCCCCCAAACACCATATTGTTAAAAAGTGGCTCCCAGATGGGAAGATTTTGGGGAGGGGGTCCAATAGTAGTAGTAGTAGTAGTAGTAGTAGTAGTAATAATAATAATAATAATAATAATAATAATAATATATTTATAACTCGCCCCCAGCCACTCTGGGTGGCTTCCAACAAAATATTAAAAGTACAATGAAACATCAAACATGAAAAACTTCCTTAAACAGGGCTGCCTTCAGATGTCTTCTAAAAGTCTGATAGCTGTTTATTTCCTTGATATCTGAAGGGAGGGCATTCCACAGGATGGGTCCTCTACCTGGTTCCCTGTAACCATAGGAGTAGGTGCCACACACTTACTACACTCGGGGTTGTTGTCATTCTGGAACAAGGTCTGCCGAGGGTTCTTGAAGATGGCTTCCCAAGGAACGTTCTGGATGAAGCAAAGGTTGGGGTTGTGGTGAATCAGAACCATTCCACTGCTGATCTCTTGCAGCGAACGCAGGCCGAAGGAGGAGATGTTGAGGTTTTGCAATGTTAGAGAATAGACTCCGCTGCCAAAAGAAAAGAAAAAACAGGCTCCCCAATCAGGAAGAAGAGAAGAAGCCCCCAAAGAGCCATCTTATTTGTCTATCCCTGCCGTGCTGAAGTAGATATTGACTAGTCCAGCGAGGGACTCATTTAACAACCTGCCTTGTTTTGTTGCATTTCAAGTAATATAATTTCAGGAACTTCAGTTAGTATGAAGGGTGTAGGTTTTAAAATAAGTAAGATATTCAGGCATCTTTTTGCTGTACCTGAGGATATTACTTCCAACTTCTTTCTTTTCGTGTAAGGAAGAAAAGATGGCTGGCGCAGGACAGAAACCGTGGCAGGATGAAGTGCTTTAGTGAGGGATTACAAAGCAGAGGGTTCTCTCTGCTCTACCTACCACATGGCTGGTGTGTGAGGGGAAAGGAGAGGGAGAGGAAGTTACATTGTGTAGGCCCAAAGTTTTTGCGGTTTATTTGGATACCCTCCGACCTTTTGTCAGAAGGTGAGAGACTTGCTGAGTGCTTCTGTGGGATCAGCCTCCATCTCTGGAGGGGTTTCCCTTCAGCAGGAAATGCCAGTTCAGAAATCCCCTTAGGAGAGACAATGGGAAACCCAGGTTTCCTTTGAGCTTGCTTGACCAAGTGACAGAAGTTCCACACTGCCTTGTGCATGTTAACAGTGAATACTTGGAATATGGTGGCAAGGTGACAACCAGCAGGAAGCCTTTGACAAAGTCAAGACAACAGACACACACAACTACCAACATTCACTGGACTCGATAACTGGTAAAAAGAGGGACGGGATATATCCTGTTAGATCTGGAGAGCCACAAAATCCATTGGGGTTTGACAGCATTTATGCAAGTAAATAGAGACAGCTCGCTTACAGCCATCTAGTGAGTTAGTAGCAGAGGCAAGCTCAGATTCTGGAATCCTTGATTTATAGTTCAGTCTTTTAGCTGTTGCAATCTAAGCTATTTGTGCCCCAATCCTGGGAGGGTGCTTACTTGTAAAGGGCTCGTCCCCGGATCACTTGAAGGTTCTGGAAAGGGTTTAAATCCACAAGAGACTCCGGCCAGGATTCAATATAGAGGAAGCCTATGCAAAACACAAAGTTTGGACCAATCAGCGGAGGATGAGGGCACCTGATTCATTTATCACTTGTATATCCAACTTTTCCTCCAAGGAGCTCAAGGTGGCATACATGGTTTTCTTCCTCCCCATTTTATCCTTGCAACAACCTTGCGAGGTAGGTCAGACTGAGAGACTGTGACTGGGCCCAGTGTCACCCAGTGAGCTTCGTGGCTGAGTAGGGATTTGAACCCTGGTCTCCCAGGTCCTAGTCTGGCACTCTAACCACTGAACCACACTGGCTCCCTTAATTATGCTACTCTGTAACAATGAAGAACCCCTTTGCCTGGGACTTGGAGGCAGGCTGGAGGGGGCCGAGGCTACCTAGAAATAACATTCTTACGTACCTGTTAGATCCTTCAGGTTCTCAAAGACTTTAAGCTGCTTGGGATCAAGGGGCGGAGTATCAGAGGCAGGATCCCTGGACAGAAAGGAAGGAAACTGCATTGGTGGGAAATGAAATAAACAGACACACTTCGCTTCCTCTTGCTATTATTACTGCACTCTTTGTAACTTGAGTGATGGCTACTTTAATTTTGGTTCTACACAGTTGATGAAAATGTGGCCAAAATATTTTACGCACCACATGCTATTCTGAGTGGAATCACCTCAGCATTTCTCACAAGGAAATTCTGCTGTGGACAAAAGCCAGCCCTGGTGCTTCCTTTTTTAAAAAAATTATATTTATTTGATTTTAGCAATATAAAATTATAACAATACAACCATACAGATCCACATTTACAGATTCCTCCAAATCTCTGGACTTCCCACCGTCTCCTCCATGGGTTCTACTATCAAACCTTTTCTACAGCATCTTTTCCAATATTCTATATTTAATACAACTCCATTGTCTCCCTAGTACTTGCTACCTTACGAGTGTTACTGCAATCCTGCTAATGCTTTCATCTGTTTACAGTGGTCTCCAAGATAAATTATATTTTTTTTCCATTCTCTGTTAAGGTTTTGGTCTTCTTGGTTCCTGAGCTTTCCAGTCAGTTCTGCCATTTCAGCATACTCCAACAGTTAAATTTGCCATTTTTCTCCAGTAGGGACTTTATCTTCTTTCCATCTCCAGCCCTGGTGCTCCCGAGACTACTTGTTCCCAATACCAGAAGGCTTTCACACCTCGTGGTTTGATTTCCATGGCCACCATTTTTCTTATATACCCCAGAGCCTAAATCGTTCCAACTTCCTCCACTTCTTTCCCTTTTTTATAAACACTCCCATAGCCCTTCCAAAGCTAAAACCTCACATGGCACAATTACAAGGATGTCTTGAGCAAACTGATGCTACACCCTTCACACCTAAAGCTCACCGTTACTCACCCTGCAAAAGTCTCTGGCAGAAAGGCTAAGCTGCCGAAGATCTTGGTGCAGCCGGCAAAGTGGTGGATGTTGGAGGCATTGATGGCACGGACCCCTTTCAGGAAATCCATCCCCAAACCGTAGCAGACTGAGAGGTGGGGGGCGGGGAGTGGGGGGGGAGGGAAGAGAATGTGTATATGAGTCTGCAAACATCATCACAACCATGATGCAGAGCAGACAATGGGAACAACACAGAACCTTTGGGCTAAAGGGCCGAAAGAAAGGCTAACTCAGACATAGGCAAACTCCGGCCCTACAGATGTTTGGGACTACAATTCCCATCATCCCTAGCTAACAGGACAAGTGGTCAGGGATGATGGGAACTGTAGTCCCAAACATCTGGAGGGCCGGAGTTTGCCTATGCCTGGGCTAACCCAAGTCCTTCTTGGGTGTTGAATGCACCAGTTGCAACCCCTAGTGGCCAAGGAAGAGCCATGAGCCCAAAAACCAGGGTGACTCGCCTGCTGAATACCTACAAATGCAATTCCTGAAACCGCTGCAAAGCTGGTGAGCAAAGCCAAGGCAGTCAAGGATAGGGTCAGAATACTCAGGAGGTAGAATAAGTTAAAACTAAAACTCTGAAGAGAGCACAAATCGGTTTAAACGTTTGCAACTGTTTGCATAAACAAGCCTTTTGCCTTCCTGGTTTTGGACTGGCTAGGGATGATGAGAGTGGCAGTCCAAGACATCTGGAGGACACTGAAGTGGGGAAAGCTGCCATAAGCCCTTTCTACAACATTGGCCATTTCTATGGGTAACAGGAATGAGAGACAGGAAACAAAGTAGTATAGAATCCCGTACTTGCGTCCCCATATATATCCCTCCCCCTCGTGCCAAATATCTCCATGTGACAAAGGAGGGCATACCCTACAAGTGTTGCTGGTACCCCAGGTTCTCAGAAGGACATGCATGGTGGGCGTACACAATGTGATGCCAAGACTGATGCATCATGGGAAAAGTCAGAGTCTTCCTGGAAACAGTGTTTCTCCCTCCACTGGCCAACTCCCAGCTCTTACCTTTGGGACACGGCTTGTTGCACTTCTCGCACTTTTGCACGGTGCCCACGCTCACCTCCTGACTGGTCTGAGGGCACACCAAAGTACAGGACCCAACCTCTGCAGCCAAGTAGTTATCTGTAATTCAAAACAACAGGAAGTGAATGACAGCCTGGAATCAGCATTTATTTTCTTTAATTATAAAAAACCACTGCATAAGGATGGTGCTGCAACAAGGCAGATTATAGCAATACGTACACCATCCTCCGTTCACTTATACGCTGTTTTCCCATGGGAAAGCATGCTCAAAGCAGCTTGCAACAACAGCAAAAGAGCTCCCACTGCCAATATGTTTCTCATGTACCGCAACAGCCTGACCGTTAAATCTTCACCGGTATTCCATGGCCATCAGGTTACACCATATCACATGGGTAGGCAAACCAAGGCCTGGGGGCCGGATCTGGCCCAATCACCTTCTCAATCCGGCCCGCGGACAGTCCAGGAATCAGCATGTTTTTACATGCGTAGAATGTGTCCTTTTATTTAAAATGCATCTCTGGGTTATATGTGGGGCCTGCCTGGTGTTTTTACATGAGTAGAACGTGTGTTTTTATTTGAAATGCATCTCTGGGTTATTTGTGGGACATAGGAATTCCTTCTTTTTTTCAAAATATAGTCCGGCCCCCAACAAGGTCTGAGGGACAGTGGACTGGCCCCCTGCTGAAAAATTTTGCTGACCCCTGTCATATCACATTCTCATTCTGGTCCATCTCCCTCCACACAAGTTCTTAAAAAGAAGTTCGGGAAGCCATTTTGCTTCATATAATTGGGAGAAAATAACACCTCCATTGCAAGGCTCCTTCAGAAAGGAGTTGCTGCCAAGAGCATTTTTGTGCAAGTGTCTTTTGATGCATTGAATAGAATGAAAGTTTATGAGTCATAGCGGAGGGGACAGCATGTGTACAAATTCAACAGGGCTTTTTTTGTTTTGTTGCTACAGTGGTACCTCAGGTTAAGCACTTAATTCGTTCCAGAGGTCCGTTCTTAACCTGAAACTGTTCTTAACCTGAAGCACCACTTGAACCTGAAGCTAATGGGGCCTCCTGCTGCCACCAGAGCATGATTTCTGTTCTCATCCTGAAGCAAAGTTCTTAACCTGAAGCACTATTTCTGGGTTAGCGGAGTCTGTAACCTGAAGCGTATGTAACCTGAGGTACCACTGTATTTTGTTAACGTTTTGATATTGTTTTATAGATATGAATGCTATCATACTTTGTGAATCCTATAATATGATTTTTTTGGGGTGTAACTGTGATGTTCAGCTTATTTTTTAGTTGTTTTGTTAATAGTGTTACATAGATGGTAACTGTTTTATTTGCAATTTGTGATTGTTTTAAGTATTCTATACAATTCATGCTGCATTTGCGATGTTCCATTATGTTATTTTTATCTTTTGTTTGTAAGCCACTTTGGGATTTATTTGAATAAAAAGAGGCAAAGAAATAGATTTTTTTTAAAAAAAACACATTTGGGGGGCATTTTTCTTTATAGAGAAAGGGGGAAAACAAAGGCCAAGTTCTCACTGAGGTGGTAAACTAGTATCAGGATTATACCACTGCTGAATGCAGACAGTTGTTCAAATGACTGAAAGCACCACCATTTTATATATGCGTCGGTGTGTCTACTGCTATTTTCTGTGCTGTTTTCAACCACTTTTAGGAGGTGTCTGTATGTTGCCTTTTTCATGTTATGTGTGTGGGGGGAAATTAAAAAACTAGCAACTGGCATACATGAAAGGAATATTCTGTGTGCTGGAGTACTCAGTCATGTGCCTTTGGCTCCCAGGGAGAAGGGATTTGAGGCAAAACACAGGCTCGTCTCCATAGCTAAGGACTAAACAGAAGATAGCAACTATCCCAGGGCATTTTCAGTTCCAAAAATCCTGCACACATACCGCAACCCCAATAACATATACATGCACAAAACAAAAGGGATAATAATAAGAGCCTTACAAGGGCATTCAGCAACACAAGTTGCTCCAAAAGTGTACCGTCCATTTGGATTGGGCAGGTGCTCGTAAGTGTCTGGATTGTAGTTGAAGAGAAGCGGGCAATGCAGTTCGCAAATCCCGCTGTGGTTGAAGTGCAGGCAGGCCTGGAGAAACGGAAAGGTGGCAAGTCCTATTTTTCTGTTTTTAAAGGCACGTACACTTTGAGAACTTTGACATAGGAAGGACCCCACTGAACACTCAGGGGCCACCCTAGAAAGTGAGTCGCTTGGATCAGAAGCAACCAAGTTTCCGCGGCCCCACAAAGGCTAACGAAAATTCTTTGTGGCAATGAACTTCCGAAGCCGTTCTTTTCATGGTCCAAGCCTGTAGAACCAGCCTTGCACCCACATCCAAATGGGGACAAATTCTGGGGCAGCACTACAGGGTTTCATTTCTTTTTAGGGGGGAGGGGAGCGCTGCAGCTTTATGGCGTATTTGTTTTATTTACAATGCACAATATACACAGTATAAATGGAAGTACAGTCGTACCTTGGTAGTCGAACGCCTTAGTTGTCGAACAAAGTGGCTCCTGAACGTCGCAAGCCCAGAAGTGAGTGTTCCGGTTTGCAAATGTTTTTTGGAAGCCGAACGTCTGACGCGGCTTCCACGGCTTCTGATTGGGTACAGGAATCTCCTGCAGCCAATCGGAAGCCGTGCCTTGGTTTTCAAACTGTTTCGGGAGTCGAATAGACTCCCAGAATGGATTAAATTCAAGAACCAAGGTACGACTGTAAAACGGGCACTCTTGCTACAGGCAGTGATGCTCAGTGAGCAGTCCTCACCTGAAGGCTGTATCCCCTGTATACCAGCCAGAAATTATTTCCTCAGCTCATAGAAACCTGTCTCTGCCTCTCTCTGCCTCTTTGTTGATTTAAACTCCAGAATCAATCTCTCTCTTACTTACACTTACACTTACACTTACACTTACACACACACGACAAGTAGTTGTTTCAGACTCCTCCCCTGCAGATGAACTGCCCATTCAAAAACAAACAATCATTTAACCATTCACTTCCTTCATCAGCTGGCTAACACCCCACCTTTGTCAGGTAAGAGGCTAATAATAATAATAATAATAATGATGATGATGATGATGATGATGTACCCCACCCATCTGACTGGGTTGCCCTAGTCACTCTGAGCGGCTTCCAGCAGGAAGAACATAATACAAAATTAAACATTAAAAACTTCCTTATGCAGGGCTGCCTTCAGATGTCTTCTAAAGCCAGTCAACTCCAGATCCCAACAAGCTCTGCTCACGATCACCAGATTCAGCAGGAATCTGCTCCTTGCCTTTTGGGTTCCGCCAGGGCTCCACCCCTGTTTTGCTCTTGCTCAGGCTCCAATACAGGTTGGGTGTGTGAGAGAGGTAAATGTTTGTGTTTTTTCTGGCAATCAGAAAACTTGACAGCGCGTTTGATAAATGAGAAACGAGAACCCCAGGGCGCGCACACACTCACCAGGCAGTCGGAGTGTTTGGGTCCCGTGCAGCCGGCTGCACACTGCTCGTGGCAACAGTCCGTTGGGTGTCTCCCCTTACACCTTGCACAGCTGCTGGCGCAGACTGTGCTTGTCACTGGCGGGGGCGGGGGGGGGGGACAAAGAGAAAAACAGAAAAGTCATAGGCACAGAAGCTCCTTCATCAAACACAAGAGGGATCTCGTAGCCTCTGAACTGACAGCTTGCAAAAAGGGAGGTGTCAGCAGCAGCAGCTGCTGTTTGGGCTGCGACATAAATGCCAGGTGACAGCGGGGTGAGAGGAAAAGAAGGCATGCCACAGCTACACTAGGGGACAACCCAGGTCGTTGCAACAGGGAGAAAGAAAGGCCTTTGAGAGAACAGGAGAAGCGGGGATGCCAGGGAGTTTTGTGGGACAGGGGAGAGCTAAGCGGAAGTCTAATTCCCTGAGCAAATAACAGAGAACCTCTAAAGGCTTTGCTTTAGAGACATGCTCAGATGTACTCTTCTCAGATGTACTCTTCCCACCTCCTTCCCCAAACTGGAAAAGTGCTAACTAGGCTTTGGAAGAAGTCGTGAGGGAATCCAGGACTCTGTCAGAACCCTCACACTTCCTTCCAAAAGCCCAGCGTCTCCCTTTCCCAGCTTTGGAATGGTGGCGTGAGGGCTGGGAGGCATCAAATGTTGCCAAGGGCCGCCAAAGAGGCCTCGAGGGCCGCACGGCCCACCCTGTTCTACGTCAAGGATGGAGAATCCCATAGGCAGGGGCCATATGCGACCCATCAGGCCCCTCTGTCTGGCCCTTGGGACTCTCCCCAGGCCACAGCCCTGCTTTGCTTAACTGTTCCTGTCTGCCTGAAATGCATATCTGAATTCTGACGTGCCTCTTGATCATCTGGATGGGTGGAAAGAGGGGTGTGCACAAATGTGCAGAAATGAGCCTACAATACAATTCACACTTGTTGCTCCTCCCACTTTTAGCGTCAGCCCTGCTCACCACTGGCATGTGGCCCCCGAATGATTGCATGGAAGGGAATGTGGCGCTCAGGCTGGGGGAGACAAAATGGCGACCCATCCCCCATTCTACACACAAATTACGCACTCCAAAGCTGTTAAGAGACACTGTGTAAAACCTGCACGTTTTGGTATAGCCCAGATCCCAAGAAGCCTGATACTCACATGTTTGACAGCTCCCTTTTCCTTCTCCCCAGCAGTGGCCATTGAGGCATATTCTTTGGCAGTCGGGGCCTGAGGAGTGGGGAAAACAGACACTTTCTTAAAAGCAAGGTGTTCCTCACCAAATATTCCTGCATTCTATTTGTTACAGTCACTTTTCTCACAGAGCAAATCAAAGCACCTTAGGTCCAAACCAATTAAGAACCTCCAATAAGAATCTAAAACACAGATAAAAGGTAGGACTTTCTGATCCTACCCAACTAAAACGGGCCGCAATGCCACCATTCAGATTACAAGCCAAGAACACAGGTAAAGAGATAAACCTTTGCCTAAAAATAGATCAAGATAACACCGGGTGAAAGCATTTCACAAGCAGGGGGCCACCACTGAAAAGGCCCAATCTCACGTTGCCACCCTCCGAGTCTCCCATGGAAGCAGCACACAAAGAGGGGGCTGAGGTGATGATTGCAGGGTCCGGGTTGGTTCATGTGGGGTGAGACAGTCCTTGAGGCACTGGGGCCCCGAGCCGCATAATTGCCTTATAGGACAAAACTGAGCTTGCGAACTAATGGGTGGCCAGTGTTGTCATGCCAGAACTGGCGTTATATGTTCAGACTGCCCTGCCTCGGTTGACAATCTGGCTGCTGAATTCTGCACCAGCGAACTCCGAATCACCTTCAAAGGCAGCCCCATGTATGGTGTGTTGCAGTGGTCCGATTTAGAGGTTAGAATAGGCAGTGACATGACAATCAAAGGAGTAGAAGCAGACTTCAAAGGCCTCTGGCATGCGCCAACGAAGGAAGAATAAGCAGCGAGGAATATGTGTTTGGCATGGTTTTGTGGGAGAGCAAAATGCAGCAGCGGATGCAAAAATTCAGTTTCCTTTTTTGTTTTTTAAACGGTATTTTCTAGCTCAGCCAACCCCACGAACTGTAGAAGCAGGAGCAAACAGTAATCTAGTGAAGAGAAAGAACTGAGGATCTCAGCCTTTGTTTGTTTTTAAGTTTCCAGCCCCAGTGAAAGAAAAAATGACTGTATAAAGAGCATGGACACTGCCTGCTAAAACCTTAGAAGCTGGAAGGTAAGAATTTGACTCTCAAGGGTTCAGTTCTGCTGACTGAAATCTAACCCTGCAAATATATTTCATACCCTTTCCATGGCTTGCAAGTATCAAGAAAGTAGGGTATGAGAAGCATATTTGCATAACCTATACAGCTTGCAGACCTCAGCTTGTCTTGTGGGCAGAATTTGATTTGTCTTTAGCAGAGAGTACACATGACTCTGGTTTTTAAAAAAATTCACCTAGAATGTAACAGGATAAGAAACAAGCTGAGATACGAAGGGTAATAATGTGTTCCTGGCAACTTAAATTCAAAAAATTGGGGATTTTATTCCGGTGCGGAATTCTAGAACCCCAACACAGCCCAGGAGCCAAACAAGATTCGCTTACAGATCCGACGGCGGCGGCTGCTGATCTCCGTGTAGTTCTGCTGGTTGTGTTTGTGGAAAATGGCCCCCCAGTGGATTGTCTCCTGGAAGCACAGCTGGGGGTTTTCGTCTACAATCACACCACCCTTCAAGATCTCTGAAAAGAAATCGGGGGGAGAGAAAGGGACAGTAAAGAGCAATGTATAAAAGACTTGTTTTAATTTGCTTTGTTTTCTTTGTTTTTATTATTTCTATGGCTTAGATTGCGGCCTACTTCCAAGTCCAGGAGGGCTTTGGCAAATGCTGAAATAAGCAAAACGTGGAACATTTCTATGGCACCCTGGGAGTGTCTGGAGGATGTTCACTTGCATTTTTTCATTGTAATGCTTACAAAAGCCCCATATCTCATATTACTGAGCAGGGAAGAGGGGAGGTGCAGCAGATTCAAATGGGGACACGACTGAATTTGTAGCTCAGTTGAGTAGGCAGATCGGGTTCTTTCAGGTCCCCGTCGCCTTTTCATGCTCCTCCTTCCGTACCTGTCAGATCCAACATTCCCAGCTCCTGCAGCCCCACATCCCCGCTGGGGTCGGTGTTGTTAAGGACAGCCAGGGCATACTTTTCCTCGTACAGCTGGGTCCCACGGATGATCAGGAGGCTTTCCAGCTGCAAGTGGCGCACGTGGTTCTTGGCAATCAGCACATATCCCTGGACCTCTCTGATGTCCTGGAGACAGACAGACAGACAGAAAAGGTGAGAAGCCAAGAAAAGAGGAGCAAGGAATCCTCGTTGCGCGGCATAGTAAGTTGTCCAAAGGCCACCCAGGGCAACCCCCGAAGAGAGGCGGAACCGCCCGTCCTTACGCAGAGTCAGTGTGGTGGAGTGGTCACTCAAACCTGAGTTCCCAGTTCTGGCTGGACTACAACTCCCATCATCCCTAGCTAGCAGGACCTGGGGCCAGGGATGATGGGAGCTGTAGTCCAACAACAGCTGGGGACCCAAGTTTGACAAACACTGGGTTAGAGTGTCAGATGAGGACCTGGCAGACCAGGGTTCAAATCTCCACTCAGCCCTGAAGCTCACTGGGTGACCTTGGCTTTGTCGTCATTTGCTATCTGCCATACTAGAAGCTGCAAGGACACCCAGACAAAAGGCTTCAGATTACAATCTCAGCAGATGGGAAGATTGCTGAGGGAGAAGGCAGTCCAACGAAACACTTTATTAATTATTATTATTATATTATTATTATTATTATTATTATTATTATTATTATTATTATTACCTGGGATCCTGAGCCATGTAGGGCTTTAAAAGTTACAACCAGAGTGCCAAAGACACTGAGGGTGCGAGAGATTTATCTATATATCACCTGTACAACAAATGCTCTTAATACTTATTTCGTTTTCGCGAAAGAAATTTAAATATATCCAAACAAAACCCCGTGGCACCTGCTCTGCTCTGCTTTTTTCATTGGCCAACTGAATCCCCAGCACAGAAGAAGCAGAAAGCATACTTGCAGAACAAACAGCTCAAGAAGGTACAAGCGAGAAGGCCAAGACGCGTTCTCCAGCATTTCCTCACATTTCTGAAAGGGTCTTTTTAGTTTCCACTTAGGGTATGATTGTTCATTTGAAAACAAGCGAAGACCTGAAATGGTGGGGTCCATGAGACAGCCACTATGGTTTGCCATTTTACAGATGGAAACGGAGGCTGAAAGATTAGGTAGCTTGCACACAACGAGATCACGCTGAGCAGACGCCCAAACACAGATTCCGTGGGCCCAGATCAAACAGCTTTGTTGTCCAGTCAAAGCTATTCCTGCCAACTCTGCTCATCTGCAGGTGCAATCACAGCACCTGAAGCAAGTGTGGCTTCTTTCGAGGAAATGGGTGGCAGCCACAGGTGGAAACCCAGCCTTGCTTGCTTTTGGAAGCACCTTCCCGTAAGTGACACTTTCACTGTGATAGGGAGAGAGACATGCAGATTTCTATGGCACAACCTGACTCCTCCGCTCCTGTTGGAATGTACTTTTCAATCTCCATCAACTTTCCTCCTCTAAATGCTACTTGAGAATATGAAGAGGCAGGGTGGATCAAATTGATTTAAACTCATTCAAATTGATTTAAACTCATTCTTGCTGGTATAATCTTAATATTTACAACCAGATGAAGGTTTCATTTTTGGAATAATAAATTTTCAGAGTGGTTTTTTACAGTTATATCAAAAATTACTGATTTGGTTATACTATTAGAAATACATAGACAGATAATTATGAAATTATTGTGAGGTTTAATAAGTTAACTGTTTATATTTGGACAACTTTTCTGCTGTACTTTACTGGAAGGAAAAAAATAACCATTTCCTTAGTAACAATTTAAACAATTTGTTTAACTAAAGCAATAACATTATAGCATATGTATCCATGTTTGTTAACTGATGTGATTAAACAATTAAAAAAAAACTTAAGAGTTTTAGCACACATGAAAAACTTAAAACAAATCCTTATTTCCTGATGAATAGCCTTTGGACTATAATGTAAGCTAAATAGAAAACTATCTTTAGAAAGATTTTTCCTCCAAAAGCATTTCATTTTAAAAATCCAATTTAAAAAATCTGATTTATGGGGTTATTTTTTTTAAACCCATTAATTTTAATCCACCCTGTGGAGTGTGTGCCCACCTTCCCCGTTTCCTCCTCTTCTGATTTTCATCCCGATAAAGAGAAGCTGTCTTGAGAACATGCATTTAACTTCTCCCATCACACCCACCTTGAGAAAGGACGTGTCCACATCTGCGGGCAGATAAGTGATCTCCAGGTTGCCTTGCACAACTTGACAGTTCTCATAGAGGTGGCGGAGGGTGGCGTGGTGGTTTTCTGGGCTGGAGGGATGCTGCAGCTTCATGTCGGTCCCTGTGCAGACTGCGGAGGAGGAGGAGAAGTGCAAATAAGGTTGGAATCAAAAGAAAAAGGGGGCCATCCACACACACACACACACACACCTGGGAGCATGTGTGCAATCCTAAGCTCCTTGTTATGAACTCCTTTTGAAAGGCTTGGGTAAAACTAGAATAGTCTAAGTCAGTGTTTCCCAACCGGTGTTCCGCGGCACACCAGTGTGCCGTGAGACCTTGCCTGGTGTGCCGTGGGAGGGAGGCGGGAGAGGCTCCGAAGCGGGGCGGGGGGGGGTGGGAACCTGCAGCGCGGGGCGCCCTTTGGAGGACGCCCCGTGCTTTGCGCAGCTGTCCGCAAGCCTTGGGCGCCTGGGGGAACTCCCCCCCGGCGCGCAAGGCTTGCGGGCGGCAGCCTGCAGCGCGGAGCGCGGGGCGTCCTTCGGAGGACGCCCCGTTCTTCGCGCAGCTGTCCGCAAGCCTTGCGCGCCCAGGGGAACTCCCCCCCCCGCGTGCACGGCTTGCGGGCGGCAGCCAGCAGCGCGGAGCACGGGGCGCCCTCCGTAGGAGGCTGCGGAGGGTGGCACGGAGCTGCCCGCGCTCCAGGGCTTCTTGCAGCTCCGCGCCACCCCCGGATCCCGGCGCGAAGCCGCGCGGGGCTGCGGAGGGTGGCACGGAGCTGCCTGCGCTCCAGGGCTTCTTGCAGCTCCGCGCCACCCCCCGGATCCCGGCGCGAAGCCGCGCGGGGCTGCCTGCGCTCCAGGGCTTCTTGCAGCTCCGCGCCACCCCCCGGATCCCGGCGCGAAGCCGCGCGGGGCTGCGGAGGGTGGCACGGAGCTGCCTGCCTCCAGGGCTTCTTGCAGCTCCGCGCCACCCCCCGGATCCCGGCGCGAAGCCGCGCGGGGCTGCGGAGGGTGGCACGGAGCTGCCTGCGCTCCAGGGCTTCTTGCAGCTCCGCGCCACCCCCCGGATCCCGGCGCGAAGCTGCGGAGGGTGGTGCGGAGCTGCCTGCGCTCCAGGGCTTCTTGCAGCTCCGCGCCACCCCCTGCATCCCGGCGCGAAGCCGCGCGGGGCTCCGGAGGGTGGCGCGGAGCTACCTGGGCTCCAGGGCTTCCTGCAGCTCTGCACCACCCTCTGGATCCTGGCGCGAAGCCGCGCGGGGCTCCGGAGGGTGGTGCGGAGCTGCCTGCGCTCCAGGGCTTCTTGCAGCTCCGGGCCACCCCCGGATCCCAGCGCGAAGCCGCACGGGGCTCTGGAGGGTAGCGCAGAGCTGCCTGCATCCCGAAGCCTGGTGCGCGCTGAAGAGCGCCCCCGGGCTTCACGCACCTCTCCGCAAGCCTGGGGAGACCAGTGTGGCTCCCTAGGCTTGCGGATATCAGGCTGTTCTGGGGTCGGGGGAAGCTTGGGCTTCCCCCGCGCCTGCCCCGTGCCTGGGGAGGGGAAAAAATTTTTTTTCTTTATTCTCCCCCCAAAAAATTAGGTGCGTCTTATGGGGCGGTGCGTCCTATGGGGCGAAAAATACGGTAGTCAATATAGGCACAGAGTTAAATTTTTTAACATTTTCTAATGGTGGTGTGCCTCGAGATTTTTTTCATGAAACAAGTGTGCCTTTGCCCAAAAAAGGTTGGGAAACACTGGTCTAAGTTTCCAAATGTAAGGTAAAAGTTCCACATATATAAAACAGTGAATCAATACAGTGGTACCTCGGGTTACATACGCTTCAGGTTACATACGCTTCAGGTTACAGACTCCACTAACCCAACCCAGAAATATTACCTCAGGTTAAGAACTTTACTTCAGGATGAGAACAGAAATTGTGCTCCGGCGGCGCAGCAGCAGCAGGAGGCCCCATTAGCTAAAGTGGTGCTTCAGGTTAAGAACAGTTTCAGGTTAAGAATGGACCTCCGAAACGAATTAAGCACTTAACCCGAGGTACCACTGTACGCATTATCGTGACTGTTCATATTCTGAAGGCACCCTTCCCAAAAGACATTGAATTAGCAATGGGAAAAAGAAACCAGCACACTAGGAATCTCAGCTCTCTCTTTTTGGTTTTAAAATTTAAGTTCCTAGCCCCCAGGTCTGCTAAAGTATGCTGGGAATCTCAGAAGCTCATGGCAGAGCCAAGCCGAGTTGGAATTCAGTGCTCCATTTACTGTATTTTGCCATGTATAAGAGTATATTTCCGCCATATTTTTTCAAGTTTAAAATTGGGGGTCGTCTTATACATGGATAGTGCATATGGGGGATTTATTTATTTGGAGTCCCCAAAAATAGGGGTCATGTTATACATGGGGTCATGTTATACATAGAAAAATACAGTAACTTTTTCTCCTTCATGACTAGCAGAAACAGAATAGTTTAGACAAGCAAATACCGGATTTTAATACTATGTTTCCCCCCCCCTAAAAAATAATGTCAAAAATTGGGGGGTCTCTTATACACAGATACATCTCCCCCCATTTTATTAAATTGGAGTCCCCCCAAAATAGGGGGCATCTTATACATGGGGGCGTCTTATAGACAGAAAAATACAGTATATGCAAATTGGATTAAAATTATGCAGAATTCATTTGGGGATACAGGTTTTTAATTCAAGTATATAGAACCGTGCTATTTATAGACAAGCTGCTTCCCCCTCTAGAACAAAAAACTGAAAATAAAATGATCTTTGAAAATTGAGCAGCCTTTCTGTTACAGGCCTCTGGTCTGTGGCAGGTGATAAACTTTACGCATGATTGTGGGAGAAAAAGCAAGTTTTAGGAAGCTAAGTTCTGTCTTTCCCTGTAAATGTGAGGTTTTCCAGCTCTAGAGCCAAGATATAATTTTCTGGAAAGATTTCTTGGCTTTAAACAAGACATACGTCAGGCAGAAATCCAACAGGTGACGTTCCCTGCATGGAAAAAGGGCATCTTTTAAATCCCTGTGCAAGAGAGAGCTCAAATAGGCAGTGCTGGATGGCGATTTCATACACTGGTTTGAACTAAAGAGGCCATTTTATTTTATTTTATTTTGACTTCGGGAATCTCAGCATGCAACTCATTCCCGGAGGCTGGAATCCATCCAAGCCATTCTGAGCCAAGCAGGAACTTCTCTCATCCTTTCAGAAAGCCCGATACTTCCTGTGCCTCTCCCCCACTGTTCACAATTCAACCAACCAGCATGCATTATTCCCCACGTACAGCCTTTTCGCCTCAATAAAAATCCTCCTCCAGATTCCTAACACCAAAGACAACACAGCACTATCTGTTACTATAGGAAATGCTGGGCTCCCGTTTCAACTTGGTAGCTCATTTCAATAACTTCCTATTGATTAATTCCACAGCCCAGCAGTCTCTCTCTCCCCCCTCTCTCTCTCTCTCTCTCTCTCTCTCTGTGTGTGTGTGTGTGTGTGTGTGTGTGTGTGAGAATTGCTGCTCCTCAGCCAAGGAGCCCTACATTTTGACAAAACTTGGCATTTAGGAGGAGGTATGGAGGGAGCGACTGTTTCGAAGATCATCTCACTCAAGATTCAATGGTTTGCAACGGCCTTTCTTTGTGAACAAACGCATTTGAGACTAAACTGAAAAAATAAGTTTTCCAAGCCAGATAGAAATAGACAAAACAAAGTGTATAGCTTCCTCACAAACCTTGGAATAAGATAAACCAAGAGGTCAGTAGGTTTTATGTAAATAACAGGCAATTAAAAGCAAGAGGAAGGGTTTGTAGAAGTCACACAACTGTTATAACAAAAATCTGCTCCCTTTCCCTTATGGGGTACCCAAGAGCCCATGTAGAGTCATCATTTAGGACTAGGTCGGTGGCGCTGTGGGTTAAACCACAGAGCCTAGGACTTGCCAATCAGAAGGTCAGCGGTTCGAATCCCCGTGACGGAGTGAGCTCCCGTTGCTCGGTCCCTGCTCCTGCCAACCTAGCAGTTCGAAAGCACGTCAAAGTGCAAGAAGATAAATAGGTACCGCTCTGGCGGGAAGGTAAACGGCGTTTCAGTGCGCTGCTCTGGTTTGCCAGAAGCGGCTTAGTCATGCTGGCCACATGACCCCGAAGCTGTACACCGGCTCCCTCGGCCAATAAAGCGAGATGAGCGCCAAAACCCCAGAGTCGGCCATGACTGGACCTAATGGTCAGGGGTCCCTTTACCTTTACCTCTCTATCTGTAGGAGAAAATAACAGAGGCCAACCATATAATATTGAGAAGCAAAGCAGCTAGGAAGCCTGATCTTTATTAAACTGTTGCAACAGGGTGTTCACAACCCTACGCAGGAGGGAGGAGGAACCCCGAATATTGGTGTGCAAGCCCTTATATAGACTTTTGAAATTGCCCACCCTGTAGCCGAAGACCCCCCCCCCCCGAAACATCATACATACATCACAGAAGGAGGCGGTGAACAACAGAGAAGGCGGTCTACAGCAGAAATCCTGTTTACCAGAGTATCTCATAATGGTCACTGGTTGCATTACCTGGGCAGTCTGGGCATTCTTGTAAATACTCAGTTCCTGAATCCAGGCCACAGGCTCACCCTATTCATACACAGATACGCCCTTAAGACAGGATTTGTGAGCAAAGAGACAATGTCAAGGTTTTCCCATTTCCTTCTTCCTTGCAGAGGAGCATTTGAGGTCAATTTGGGAGAGTCATAATGGTTTCAGGACTATTTTCCTGTACTGTTTCAGACATGTGGTTTCTATCTGAAGGCAGCCCTGTTTTGGGAGGCTTTTAATATTTCATGAATTAGTGTATTTTAATGTTTTGCTGGAAGCCGCCCAGAGTGGCTGGGGAAACCCAGCAAGATGGGTGGGGTAATAATAATGATAAAAATAATAATAATTTATTATTTATGTGTGTTTTTTTTTATAAAATTTTTATTGGTTTTACAAATTTTTAAAGACAAACAAACAACCAAAAAGACATACAAACACGTATAGTTTCATAACATTTTTTCATAGACCTCTTTTCCAGGACTCCCCCATACCCCCCCTTCCTGCATCCCAATGTCCACGATTTTTTAGCAACTTCTAAATATTCCTTTCCAA